GTTAGGTGGAAGTGACCCAGATAGGTGGTGGTTGTATGACATGTATAGAGAAGAAAGAGAAGAGAGATTCCACAACGAAGTTGGTACGACTCCGGAGAGGTTATTAGAGGACAGAAGAAGTTCATCTAGTTCGGAAAGCCTACCGATTGAGTGTGGTATGCTTCCTGTTAATTGGTTATTTTCAAGTGCAAGACTAGTAAGAGAAAAGAGATTACATATGCTCGGTGGGATGCTGCCGGTGAGTTCGTTGTTGTACAAGTAAAGTACAGTTAGAGAGGTGAGGTTAGCTATGCTAGATGGGATGCTGCCACTAAGGCTGTTGTTGTATAGGAAGAGTTGAGTCAGAGAAGTAAGGTTTCCAATGGTATGCGGGATGCTGCCATATATTTTGTTTCCGGCCATAGATAGAACAGATAGCAAGGGAAGACTTGTTAATGAAGACGGTACTCGTCCTGTAAGGCTATTGTTTTTTAGACCTAGGACCTGTAGGCTAGAACAATTGCTGAGACTGACTGGAATTTCGCCTTGGAGCTTGTTATCCCGTAGAGAAAGTACCTCTAATTTTGAACAGTGAGAGAGGGAAGCAGGAATACCTCCTTCAAGAGAATTCATACTCAGGTTGAGATTCAGCAGCCGAGAAAGGAGACAAATCTCTTGTGGGATGGATCCGCTAATTTCATTGTTTGAAAGATCAATCCTTCTGAGAAATGTGAGGTCTACTATGGCCGTCGAAATAACTCCAACAAGATCGAGGAAGCTCAAGTTCAAGGATACAACCCTCTGAGGATGTCGGAGTCACCCGCAAGTGATCCCTAGCCACCGGCAGAAATGAACAGAGTCGTTCCACGAGGCCAGTGATCCTCTAGGATCGCCGGATATCGTGGATTTGAAGGAGAGAAGTGCACGTCGATCAGTTAAATTGTTGTGCTTTGGATTGAAGGTGGGGGTGGATGTGGAAGCTTCAAGGCATGAGAGGAGGACTAGAGCTGTGAGCGCTGAAAAAACGAACTGTGGTGACATTGGAATGGATTCTGCAAATGTGATAGTAATGATATTTTGATCGAACTCTCACTATCTATTTATAGCTTTAATGTGAGTGTTCTTCATTTTTTTTTTTTTTTTTTTTTTTTTTTTTTTTTTCGACCGAGTCATGGTCATGGAATCGGTTTAGTCATTTATAAGCCCCAAATTCACGCAAACTTCATAAACAGACAGGGACTCTAAAATTATGTATAAAAATTCTAGAAAAAAAAAAGCTTTTAAAAAAATTGAGAAGTGCAAACAAGAGCATGCCGGCTCGAGCAGTCGCCATTTTTTTAAGAATTGCTGACCAGGAAATTGCTCCATCTCTCTTTTTTTATTTTATTATTTATATTTTACTATTAATTTGTTGCTGACCACGGATGGTTCTTCCCTACCTGCGACCGAGTCATGGTCATGGATGGGCTTGGGGGCGTCGGACAACCGCTTTAGATAATTTTTTTGTAGTGATATTAGTTATTGAAATTGCTTTGAGGTCCCAAAGCTTTAAGTTATTTCTGAAAGTGTTGCCTCCAAACAAGAGTAGAAATAGCTGCAGAGGGATTAAGTTGCAATGACTTATTGAGAATTCGAGGGTCTAATGGAGATTTCAGTGATTTAAGGAGATAAGTCCTGCAGAAGTGATCATCTCTAGCCCAAGAGGCTTCAGACTCAGAATCTTCTTCAGAGTCGGGTTTTTACTCAGAGACCACAAAGTAGATTTTCAAGAGTTGCTCTCAAAGATCACTTTCCGACGCCATACGTTGAAGTTAGAACCATCAAAATTCTCTAACTTAAGATAGTCCATTCCAAGAGTCTTTACAGGATCCATGGTAGATCAGAATATTGCTTTAAGATTGTTGGCGCTTATGATTAAATCTGTAATAATACATATATAAAAATAGAGAAAACTAAAAAGAAAGCTGAAGTGCAGTAATTTAAAATTTTTAACTCAGCTGCTGTGCGTTTGTAAAACGTTGTGCTTAAAGTAATATTTGGCCTACTCCGATGTAAGGATCCCAATGTCAACTCCGGTGTAAGGATCCCAATGTCAAATTGCTTTCAGGAACTGCAGTATAGTACTCTGGGGTGCACCGACCCAGTACTGTCAAGATCTCATCGATCTATAGGACCCCTCGGTCAAGGTAACGTTCTCTTTGATCAATAAGAGCTTCTCAATAAAGGCAACAATCTCCTCGATCTATAAGACCTTCTCGGTCCAGACAATATTCCTACGAGCACTAGCTATTTTACCACACATATATATATATATTTGTATATATTGATTGTTCTTTTTTTAGAATAATTTTTCTTAAGAGTTTGGGGTCTATTTATAGCGTTTGAGAAAATACTATGCACTAATAAAATATTATTATATTAGTATTCTTGTGGGGCCCACGTCCTTTACATTTTCAAAATTTTGGCACCGCCTTTTGAAAATTTTGACACTATGAACAAAGTCGTTCCACGAGGCCAGTGATCCTCTAGGATCGCCGGATATCGTGGATTTGAAGGAGAAGTCCTCGCCGATCAGTTAAATTGTTGTGCTTTGGATTGAAGGTGGGGGTGGATGTGGAAGCTTTAAGGCATGAGAGGAGGACTAGAGCTAATGAGCTATGAGCGCTGAAAAAACGAACTGTGGTGACATTGGAATGGATTATGCAAATGTGATAGGAATGATATTTTGATCGAACTCTCACTATCTATTTATAGCTTTAATGTGAGTGTTCTTCGGGTTTTTTTTTTTTTGGTTCTTCTCTAACTCCGACCGAGTCATGGTCATGGAATCGGTTTAGTCATTTATAAGCCCCAATTATGTATAAAAATTCTAGAAAAAAAAGCTTTTAAAAAAATTGAGAAGTGCAAACAAGAGCATGCCGGCTCGAGCAGTCGCCATTTTTTTAAGAATTGCTGACCACGAAATTGCTCCATCTCTCTTTTTTGATTTTATTATTTATATTTTACTATTAATTTGTTGCTGACCACGGATGGTTCTTCCCTACCTGCGACCGAGTCATGGTCATGGATGGGCTTGGGGGCGTCGGACAACCGCTTTAGATAATTTTTTTGTAGTGATATTAGTTATTGAAATTGCTTTGAGGTCCCAAAGCTTTAAGTTATTTCTGAAAGTGTTGCCTCCAAACAAGAGTAGAAATAGCTGCAGAGGGATTAAGTTGCAATGACTTATTGAGAATTCGAGGGTCTAATGGAGATTTCAGTGATTTAAGGAGATAAGTCCTGCAGAAGTGATCATCTCTAACCCAAGAGGCTTCAGACTCAGAATCTTCTTCAGAGTCGGGTTTCTACTCAGAGACCACAAAGTAGATTTTCAAGAGTTGCATCTCAAAGATCACTTTCCGATGCCATACGTTGAAGTTAGAACCATCAAAATTCTCTAACTTAAGATAGTCCACTCCAAGAGTCCTTACAGGATCCATGGTAGATCTGAATATTGTTTTAAGATTGTTGGCGCCTGTGATTAAATCTGGAATAATACATATATAAAAATAGAGAACACTGAAAAGAAAGCTGAAGTGCAGTAATTTAAAATTTTTAACTCAGCTGTTGCACGTTTGTAAAACGTTGTGCTTAATGTAATATTTGGCCTACTCTGGTGTAAGGATCCCAATGTCAACTCCGGTGTAAGGATCCCAATATCAAATTGCTTCCAGGAACTGCAGTACAGTACTCTGGGGTGCACCGACCCAGTACTGTCAAGATCTCCTCGATCTATAGGACCTCTCGGTCAAGGCAACGATCTCTTTGATCTATAAGACCTTCTCAGTAAAGGCAACAATCTCCTCGATTTATAAGACCTTCTCGGTCCAGACAATATTCCTACGAGCACTAGCTATTTTATCACACATATATATATTTGTATATATTGATTGTTCTTTTTTTGGAATAATTTTTTCTTAAGAGTTTGGTGGGGTCTATTTATAGCGTTTGGGAAAATACTATACACTAATAAAATATTATTATATTACTATTCTTGTGGGGCCCACGTCCTTTACATTTTCAAATTTTTGGCACCCCCGGGTTTATTGGGTGTTCATTCCCAAATCTTGTTTACCAGGTACTAAAATTGTTTATTTGGGTTGAAACGAGCTTAAGAGCTTGATATTGTTGCCTCTCTTATTATTTTTAAAATTGATGATGGTTTGGTTTTATGTTCTTATACGATTTACTTGTAAGTTATGATTTTATTAGTTGATTTGTTTTCATTTTAATTTTTTTTCTTGATTCTCATGTTTTATTTCCTTTGATTTCATTAATCCATTTTTACATTATTTTTATGTTTGAGTAATGTGACACTATTTTCATATTGATATATTTATATGTGCTCTCATTGTCCTTTTGTATGTGAGTTTTGCTTAAGCATGTTTTCATCTTGCTTGCTCACATGTTTGCCTTAGTCCTCATTGCATGTTTTTCTTTAAGGCTTTTTGATAGGGGGAGCAATCACTATACTTGTTTTATACTCACACATGCTTATTTGTAGGGGGAGTTTTCGCTCTCTCCATTCTTTTGTTTTCCCCTTTTAAATGTTGTCTAAGGGGGAGAAATATTGTTAGTATATTTGTGACTATATTCTTTTTGTTTATATGCATGATAATTATAATTTATATATTCTTTTCCTTTCATGCATATATAACTTTTTGTAAATTGTTTGTCATCATCATAAAGGGGGAGATTGTTAGGTCCTTTTATTTTGATGATGATTTACAAATAATTTATATCTAATGTTGTTTGTCTAGTGTTTGTGTTTTGTATCTATTCTAGGCAAACAATATGTTGGAGGATGGATGTAATCGACCTTCAACGATCATATCCAATGGAGGTTGGCGAAAATAGTGGAGTGAAGCAATGCAATTAAAGTTGAAGATCCAAGTTCAAGCTTCATCCGCAAGTGTACCAAGATAGAGCTTCGTTGAATATCACA